GCGCGGCGCTCGAATCCCAACTTGAAGGTTCATGGGTAGTAACGGGTCGTAGTTCTAAGCAGGGCTATAGAAGTACGGTAGTTATGCTCATAACCCCATTTGGGGGGTACATATGACCCTACTTCTCATTACCCGCAAACCTCCAAGTAGCGCATGCAGAGAGCCCGTAGAATGCCGATCAAGCCCATGCATACCATGCACGCTGTTCTTCGACCCCTGTGCTCGGCGTTTGGCTGCAAGAAGCTACGGTGTCTTGCTGATAAGGGTGTAGGCACGGCCAACTGTCAGAAAGACCAACCGACCCGCCGACCCTCATCCATATTGCGACCACCTGAGCTGACATCCACCTGAACGAGATCTTAACCCTGAGTCCTGCATGCTAAGCACGCCTTCCACCTCAACGTGTCATGGGCCAGTCGCTTGCCCAACGGCAGCCTCTCGCATGTTGCGTGCCAAGCAGGCATCCGCCCAACGAATCTGCAGCAACGGTCACGGCGACACGTGACCGGTGACTCTTACTGTAGCTGCCTGCCGCTGCCAGTTGTTTCCGCTGAGACTGCACTGTGACTATGCCAATCCCTGAAGCCTAAGTCAAGTCTCCGAACGCAACACCAACGCCCGAAAAGCATCGGAAAAAGTAAGCCCGACATCCGTCAAGCCTGTAGCTGTGGGGGGATGGAGGCCCCCTAAAATCTCCTATCTCGACTTAGACTAGAGAAGTCCATGTGCGAAGAAAACGCACATACTTTGTTTCTTGTCCTTTCCGGCTCGCACTCTTTCCGTTGCTTCAAGGCCTCCGAATCAGGCTCAAGAGTCCCCATCTGGCCATATATATATATATATATACATGTATACACACGCCCTGGATGAGATTAGATAGGGCACTGATTCCCAGAATTCCCTTGTTAAGAACCCGTACGAGATCCTACGCCAATCCGCAGCCTGGCCCTGAGGGATTGGCACCATGCCGACGATGGGCGGCGCGTGGCTTTGGCCGCGACGCCGCTGTTTCAGGCGGCTATGGGGTGGGGGGGGGGGGGGTTGATAGCAAAACGAGAATGGATGCTAGCAGTTAGCTATAAACCCATAACATGTGATGAGCTCCAACTATAGCATGTAGAGCTCTAAACTTACAAGCCCAAAACCACAGGCCCCTGGGCGGGTGGGTTTCGGCCTGGGTTTTGGGATTCAGGTCGCTGGCGTGCACCGTTGTTGGCATCCCAACGAAGCCCCCAAACTGCCCTTTGCTGTTCCGGCGGATAATTTCTGGCACCCCAACCATCCCAAATGTTTGTTTTCGAAGCAATGACGGCGAAATGTGAGTTTGGAGGGCCTCTCGACCAGCGATGGCTGACAGGTCGTCGGCTTCACAGCATACCACACCTCCATCATCATCGGCGAGCGTGAGCTCTTCTTTGATGGAGCCGGCATTGCAGCTCTGCAGCATTTCTGACTTCGTGCCTTCTTGCTCTCCACCTATCGATAGCCATTCCACTGGTTTCGCCGAACTGTAACCCTAAACCCCAAACCCCAAACCCTAAGTAGCCTTCGACCGCAGGTGCAAGCAGATGCCTTCTGGAGCCACGAGTGGTGCGAAGGAGCGCGTGCCAGGCCACATGGCCAAAGCCACCGCGACACCTGGAGAGGTTTAGGGTTTCGGGTTCAGGGTGTAGGGTTTAATTAGGGTTTAGCATTTAGGGTTTAGGGTGTATCCCTGCAGTCCATGATGGGTTTGCCGTTTCTCGAGTCATGTGTGCGTTCCGACCGTGACTGCCTTGCGAGCCAGTCGGCAGGTTACCAGGTTGGGTGGGAGGTAGTTGACAAGTAGTTGGCACCGAGTTGTTTTCCTGTGAGAGAATGCATCGCCACCATGCAGACTGCCATTGTTGCCAGTGCATCATGCCCAGATACTCAACCGTGTGGGTATGCAACTTTGAAGTGGCCACCCAAATGGTGGCCAAGGTTAGCGTTGAGGGTGTTCTGTTGGGAATTGTTGGTGCGTGCACTTCCCCGGATGCTCCAAACCCGGATGCCAAATGGTTATAGGCAAGTTTAGGGTTTAGGGTTTAGGGTTTAGGGCACGCCTCCTTTCACAACACTTCTGGCATGTGGCGCCACCGTGAGCTGTGTGCCACCTCGGCCAGGTCTTCCTCGTACGAGACGGAGGTGGTAGAGATGGGGCTCACAGAGTTACCTGACCGATGATCACTTTGCATCTACTCAGGGGCTGCAGTTGCTTAGTATCCCTAAACCCTAAACCCTAAACCCTAAACCCGAAACCCTAAACTTAGTATCTACCCTCCTAGTCGGAAATCCCTCCAAGTTCAGCATCAGGCTGGATCCCGCAACCGCTGCTCGGATCTTGGAGCCCTTCTTTGAGCATGGCACCTACGATGTTTTGAGGACGAGGGGGTTTCGGGTTTAGGGTTCAGGGTTTAGGGTTAGCAGTTTAGGTTTAGGGGTTTAGGGTTTCGGGTTTTGGGCCACAGCCTTTTTTTGGGGGGTTTTCGTGGCTAGCAACCTCTTCGGACTCTTCGGAAACACATCGAAACACGGGGGGCGGTGGAAATGGACGTGTGGGGCAGAGTCTGGTGCGGTGGGTGATATGGGCTTTTCGGGGCAGAGTCTTTGAGAAATGGAGAAGCGTACCCACAGTCCAGCCGAAGGACCCGAGAGAACACTCCATGAAAGATTTGGGCCTCACTTTGCCTAGGACTAGGACGTACTAGTGGGCACTTCCTCCCTTTTTTCATGGCTCATGAGGTGCCCTTCATAAGCCCCTGTACACCAAAAAGGGTACTTTCTTTTTCTTTTTCCCCTAGGGCTACTCTTGGATCTCGTTGCCTGGTAGGAAGAACTGCAACAGCTTCTCCGACGCCGCGTTGTGGCTCCTTGCGCGGCGCCGGCTGGAGAGCAAGTTCAACCGCTTAGAGAGGTCCCAGGGTTTAGGGTTTTGGGTTTTGGGTTCAAAACCCACAACTTAGGGGCCCACAAGCTTGGCAGGGCTTAGGGTTCAAGGTGTTCGAGACGGTTAGCGCGTGCGCCCCACATGCGTCATGAAAGGGCTGACCTCAAAGAGAGTCTACTTCAGCTCGGATGCCTCCTCACATCGAAGTGTAGCTGCCTAGACTTCGCGCATCGCGCGTTTACCCTAAATCCCAAACCCTAAACCCTCAACCTAAGGGTCTAGAGTCTTTTAAGCAGGTGGGTCCTCGCCCTTGAGCCTGTTTCGCTGGACGTCATTCGGAGGACGCAACCGCTCCGCATACCCTTGGGGCAGCTTCTGACACCCCCCAAAAAGGCCCTCAACCCCAAACCCCCAAAGGAACTCCTTAGGGTTTAGGGTTTAGGGTTTAGGGTTTAGGGTTTGCCACTTTGACCCAGCCGCCCGCTTGCGAGCTGAAAGTCTGACTTGAAGAGTTTGAGCTGGAGGTGCTCCATGTGGAGTGCTGTCATCGCACGACATGTTTAGGCGGTTGCTTTCCCAAACCCTAAACCCTAAACCCTAAACCCTAAACCCTAAACCCTTTTGTGCCAAGAGTGGAACCCCCTCAGGGTGCTCGTGATGGGCCGACGAGACACTGACCAGGCTGAAACCCTTTACACATGGGCAGTTCCTGAACTTCTTTTTTGGGCCTATAAGGGTGCCGGATGATGTGTAGGACCCAACAAGGGATCCGAACTCACAGAACCACACATATCCTGGGCCCTGTTCCGCTGTTCCCGGTATATGGGCTTCGGGTTTGCAGGTTGTCATGAAAGCGGCGTAGCGACGGCCAGCCCATGCATGAAGCTGTCAAGCCCCGAGCTGCACGACTGTAATCAATGCACACACAAAAACGCCATGCTGGGACCGCCGAATCTAGCCAGGGCTGAGAGAGCGCGAGATCGGGGACCCTAAGCCCCAAACCCTAAACCCTAAGCCCTAAACCCTAAACGCTAAAACCCTAAACCCTAAACCCCAAACCCTAAACCCTAAACCCTAAACCTGTGCATTTGTTGTTGTGGGAGGGCGAGTCCATCGGCTATGTGGCGAATCCGCGTGCGGTAGGCCAGCTACCGATTTTCTGGAGGGATCAAAGGATAAGCCTGGGTTTAGGGTTTAGGGCGTGGGGTTTAGGGTCTAGGGTTTAGGGATCTTCACTTGGGACCTCGAGCTCGAAGGCCTGTCAGAATTCGCAGCAAAGGGGTGTTAAGCTGGCATGGCGCACACGGTGCGTGGACGTGCGTGTAGTTCGTTTGAGAAAAAGCTTGGAGATGGGTATGCGGAGATGGTGTAGGACTGTGGTGTATAACAGCATCACGCGAGACAGATGCCAGTTTCGTGGGCCCTTAGTCAAACGGCAGCGCTAGGGGGTCTCTCGTGTCCCTCCATGCGTCCCTGTTGAAAGGGGGAAGGTGTTTCGTGTAGGGTTCAGGGTTTTAGCTTCAAAACGGGGATGTTAGGGTTTGACAAAAAATGGTCTTGGGCATCAGGGAGTGTATGAGTTAGGCTGAGAGCATGGAGCCTCGGGTTCGAAACAGGCTTTGTGCAAGAGAGAGCCTCAAGGGCGAGGCAGCAGCAGCAAGGCATGCTTGCCAAGGGATTCGTGAATGGACCCTTCAGCCACCTCAAGAAGTAACGCAGAGAAGGTTTAATTTAGGATTCAAAGCGAGCAAAGTCAAGACTCAAGACCATGAACATCAGAAAGCCCCTCAAGTTCTCGCGCCGAGAGGCTTTAATGTGGAGGAGGTCATTGGGCGCCTGAGTGCTCCCAGCGGCGCAGGGGGCTGCTTCGTGAGGCCAGAGACGGTTCGTCTTGCCACCGCAAGCAGCGCACCAAACCCTCAACCCTAAGCCCTTGTCCGAGTGTGAGCGATCAAACCCTAAACCCTAAACCCTAAACCCTAAACCCTAAACCCTAAACCCTAAACCCTAAACCCTAAACCCTAAACCCTAAACCCTAAACCCTAAACCCGAAGCCGCAGCTCTGCTGCAGATCGTCCTGCTGCGCGCGGAG